AGATTCAGTGGTACCTTCCTTCTCTATGTACATATTTTTCCCCTATGTACATATTATGGACAATTTTCTCCATTACTGAAGGAGGTGCATATGTTATTTAGAGGTCGAGTTACCAATTTGCTTCTTGGCAATCTGAGGATGTTTCAACTGCTGCTTCTGTTTACCAAATTCCCTATCTTTCTGATCCTGCTTGGAACCAATTTTCTTACATTGTTGGATGGAATGGCCTAGGAACTTACAATGAGTGCAGGAAGGTGGCTACCTTTCATATTGAACCTCTATCAGGAATACATATCCCTCTCTTTCCACAATAATAAAGTCAAACAATTTACCAGACATATCAATATCCACCAAAATTCTAGCATAGATACCAGACAACCTGGATTTAATAGCATCATCAATGATAAGGGGAGTTCCCACACCAGAAGAAATTTCAAAAAGTGTTTGTTTCCTCCAATATTCTTGAGGCAAGTGCATCCACCTAACCCAAACTTGGGTGTGAGTTTGTATCTGAGAGTGGTGGTTAAAATGTTGCGATCAACAAAAAAATCTTAAGATGCCAGGTTTGAGATTGATAACCCCTTGTGCTAGAATCTTTCTCATATCCTCTAGTGAGTGAAATTGAAACTCAAAACAACCTCTTCCAAGTGGAGTAACAAACCAGCTGCTCAAGTATGGCCAAAGGTTTTGCAGTTTGAGTGATTAAGGGTGCATCGTTTTTTTGCAGAGTGATTCTTCCATGAAGGTTGGCATTACAGTCCCTAATTCTGGCCTCATAATCTTCCTGTGATGGTTTGCTTCTAACAAAGTCACCAATAATAGTTCTAGGAGGAATAGGTTTTACTTGCGATTTTGATGAAGCAGACACCGCCTGAGAAATTTTTTTCCCAAATTCCGCCGTCGCCACAGTCTCCGGCGGATCAAGAAAATTCCACGGCCAAATCGGAGGAGCCATTAGTAGGAGACGAAGAAGAAGCAAGCTGCAGCTAAGGAAATCACAGAACCCAAAGCATCACCGTTAAAGGGAACTTCACCAAAGAGGAGAGACGAAGCAGCACCGCCCTTAGAAGCTAGCATATCCAGATCAAGAGGGAGAAATCGGCGAGAGGGGCTAAGCAGAACACACAAAATTAGAGAAAAATCATCATCGGTGCTTCACCGAAGATTGGTTAGGTCACCGAAACAAAACAGTTACAACCCAGATAGAGAGGATTCCGGCGAGGCATGTTTTCATCGAGATATAAAACATAACGTAAGTATGATAGAGAAAATTGTAGCAAAGTTTATCATAAAATGACTGTACAAATATCATTTCTCTGTTGAATAAATTAGATGTGAAATTATCACATATAAAAAATTAAAGAGAAATATCATAACAAATAAACATGATTAAGGTGGATTCTAGGGATGAGGGATCAATCAAATCCCTCACCGGTGGACCAAAAAAATAAGACCGTTAAATTTAATTAATGATCTAGATCTGCTAAGAATAAAAATGAGAGCATATACAATTCTCACACTGTATCACGGAGCCCACATCTACCCTCCTTCTCACGTACATGTTGTGATTCAATGGAAGAAACTTTTCAGATTTTACTGCAAGGTGCTTCAATAGTGCAATTTCTTGAGGGCTCTTGTAAAGTTTACGAGAAAGAATTTAATTGGTGAGTATTAGGAGTTATGTTGGCAGCAATTGCAGTTGCCCTAGCAAGAGCAGTTAACATTTATTATTATGTAGGTGAAGATATGAGGATTTATGTTGGTTGTAGTTGAACTTTGACCCTCTCACTCAACTGTGACTACTTGGTTGGAAAACCAGTACAACGTCTCAACATTCGTTCGACAATAGTTATTGGAGATTTTAGAATTAGAAATTTCAAATTTCCTCCATTGAATTGAATCACTACCATTGGAGAGGTATAGGTTAAGGTAATAGTACCATACAGTGTGGAGATTATATAAACTCTCATTTTAATTTTAACTGAACTAAATCATTAGTTATATAAGCTCAGATCAAATTTTAATCCCTCGACAATGGTTGTGGAAATAACCTGACCCTATAGAGCCATGATTTTAAAAGTGAGAGAAGAAGATATATGTGATCCAGTGTAGACGGTGTACGATATGATATGTATGATTTGATTAATCTCACGCGTCTTAGTAGTGGTCCACCGGTGAGGGATTTAATTGGCCCCTCACCCTAGATTCCACCCATGATTAATAATAAAGTAAAATAAAGCATAAGAAACTTATCAAATTTAGTTGCCGACAGGGCTCCATCAAGTCTTTACAAATCAAATTAGAGGAAACCTGTAAAACAACACACTGTTATGTAATCTGAGGCGTGACATAGTCACTGTCCTTGATGATTTTATACGCCTCATAAGCGCATATCCTCCTATGATACAACGAGTTCTTCCTCGGTATGAATCATACCCAGAGGTG